AGGTTGAGAACGCGAGAACAGTTGTGAACCAATCATTCTATAAGGACATAAAAGGAATTTTACAATATAATTAATTATGGATAATTTATGGATAATTAAATAATTCCTAAAATCATGGGAATTAATCTGATTAATAGATTTTTTACCCAAATATTAGGAATTTGTATAATCTATTTTTAATTAACAAAATACATAAAATGATTTTAAAATACGTTTTTACCATAATTTAAAAAAAAAACTTTTTTTTTGTTTTAAGTTTATTTTTACCAACATCAAAAATACTGACGCATTAATCATTTTATCCGCATATTGGTAATCATACATGAATAGAACATATTTGTAATCATATATGAATTCGGTAAGAATCTTGAATGAATAGATGAATTAAGTTATATTCATAAACGAATAAAACACAAATGAATGAACACATGTAAATATGGATTGCTTTTGAATAGAAAACATTGAATACATATTTAATCACTAATGAATACACTTCATCAGTAATGAATATACATATAATCTTATGAATACATTTGAATACACATTTAATCACTAATGAATACACTTCAATCTGTAATGAATATACACCTAATCTTATGAATACAATTGAATACATATGTTCTTGCTCTTTTGTTGGACCTGCGTGAAATATGGAAAGCAAAGACATAGCCAAAGTCTATTCATCACTATTTGTTTCATAGAAGCATGAGATATGTGGTAGACTTCTCTTCATTCAGTTCTTCATTCGGTTATTCAAGAATATTACTCGAAACAAAAAGCCTAATCATCTGGGCTTTTTTCTAGAATTCGATTTTTGGAGAAAACAAAAAAATCAGAAATAGTTACAACACAAGTATCGTTCTATAGAGGTTAAATCAAAATAAAATCTCAGCTGAACATCGGGAATCAGTGAAAAAGTTGTGAAGGAGGAATCCATTCCAAGCAAGTGGACTGTGGTGCAATCGTTTAGGTTTTGAGTATTTCGAGACAAATATACCTTCGTGTGATCTAATGGCATCGTCTATTGACCTGAGATCTCTTTGGATTTCGACCGCAGAACCCATGATTGTCTTGGGTTGTCACGGTGGCTGAGGCGGCGGAGGAGTAAGGACCTGAGATCGTTCTTGATCTTCTATCAGAATCTGTGATTGTCGTTTCTGTAATTAGGGCTCGAATCTGTGATTGTCTTGGGTGCTCACTCCGGCCATGAAAATCGATTCAGCACCTTGAGCCTCTTTATCTTCTCCATTCATCGAGACCTTCACAGTAGCACATTTAAGAAAAATCGAGAACGATCCTTTCTGAGATAAAAGATGCAGTAAAGGATTATAGATGAAGGTTGTGATGATGGTTTTGGAAGTGTATGGTGGTGACGGCTCAATTAGGGTTTAAAGGTTTGAAATCTGTATTTTGAGAGTGAGAGGAAGAAGGATATGTGAGTGAGAGAGTTAGAGAGGGGTAGAGAGAGAGAGAGAGAGATTCCAGCAACTTCACAAAAATATGTTAACGTTTAATGACCATATTACCCTTTAGTCTATTAAAAATTTACAATCTCATCCCATGACTTTTAGAAATTTACAGTTACATCTCATACTTTATAAATTATCTAGCCTTAGATCTTGATATTTGAAGAGCTCAGATCTGTTCTCGCGTTCTCAACCTTTTTGGTGTTCTCATTGATCCTACTCCTATATATATATATATATATATATATATATATATATATATATATCTATATATATATATATATATATATAAAAGATCAAATGAGAACCATTAAAGGTTAAGAACCTAAGAACCATTATTTTTAGCTTATTATTATTAAAAGTATATTTTCCATTTAACAAATACATGTTTAAAAAATTTATAAAATGCATTTTTGTCAAGGTTTAAAAAAATGAGTGGCATCATTGTAAATATTACAAAACATACACCTTATTTTATATTTCATTTTATTATATCTATTTGATTAGATACACCTTTTTATCTAAACTTAGATATGAACAAAACTTTTTCTTATTTCATTCTACTACCAGTGATGCAAAACCACCATCACTACCAGATCCAACGGCGGCACCACCACCACAACCACCGTCGGCGACACTACATCTGTCACCTCTTATAACCTGTATAAGCGACTACATCTATGTTTAATGTTTTTATTTCCATATTAGAACCAAAAACAGTAAAGAATGCATTAGACATCCTGATTGGGTTCTTGCAATGCAGTCTGAACTTGCTGAATTTGAACAAAATAAGGTTTTGAGATTGGTTCCTAAACCTGAAGATGTTTCGATAATTGGTCTGAAATGGATTTTTAAAGAATAAAACTGATAAATAAGGAAATATTGTTAGAAACAAAGTGAGGCTAGTCGTAAAAAGTTATTCTCAACAAAAAGGCATTGATTATGAGGAAACCTTTGCCCCTGTCGCAAGACTCAAGGCGGTATGAATTTTTCTTGCTTATGCAACTCACAAGGATTTCGACATCTACCAAATGGATGTGAAATGTGCATTCCACAATGGTGCTCTGGAAGAAATGGTGTATGTAGAACAACCACCAGGTTTTATTAACAATAAGTATCCTGATCACTATTATATTTTAGACAATGCAGTCTATGGGGTGAAACAAGCACCTCGTGCCTGGTAAGCAACTATGACAAATTTTTTGAAAATTGCTGAATTTAAACAAGGAATTGTTGATCCAACTTTATTTCGAAATAAAGTAGGGGATCATATGACGCTCATTCAAATTTTTGTCGAAGACATTATCTTTGGTTCTACTGATCCTTCAATGTCTAAAGAATATGAGGAATTAATGAAAAGTAAATACGAAATGAGCATGATGGGTAAAATCAATAACTTTTTGGGTTTAAATATTCGTCAAAGCAGGGAGGGAATCTTTATAAATCAAGATAAATATACTCGAAACTTTCTTTAAAGGTTTGGCATGACGAATAGCACGAAATTCAAAGTACCTATGGTTGTTGGCACGCGCTTAAGTCCTTCGTTGGATAAGCTTGTTGTGGATTCAAATTCACAATTGGTGGAAGTCTTTCGACGCACAATCTATTCTTGAAGACTGTTAAATTTTGGATCGAAAGTATCTAGGTAATATTTTAAGTTCTTTTATTTTTATCTTGTTTCTAAACATCAAAAAATCCAAAAAGATTTTCTTATTTTTGTTTTTGCTTTTTCTAAACATCAAAAATCCAAAAAGATTTTCTTATTTTTGTTTTTGCTTTTTCTAAACATCAAAAATCCAAAAAAAAAAATTTTTATTTTTGTTTTTGATTTTTCTAAAAATCAAAAATCCAAAAATATTTTCTTAAATTTGTTTTTACTTTGATAAATACAAAAATAAAAAAAAAATATTTTCGTTGGAATCTCATTGTAATAACATGACGCTCTCTCGCATGCCACATGAACATATTCATCAAGGGAACAAATATTATTTGAAACTATGTAATAGTTAAGTGTCCCTAGAAGCATGCTGAAACATGTTGTCCTCAAAGCCTCAAAGACTCCTTGTGTTCGAAGCCTTAATGCAATCTTTCACAAAAAAGTTTCTTCCCAACCAGGCTGTATTCACATTAGTCGGCGAGCTAGCTTACTCTTCTCGTGATGATTCAAGAGTTTTCTGCTTGGTCCAAATTTTTAGCAGAGGTGCAATAAGTTCTTTCACCAAATCTTTTTCACCCAAAACAAAATTTCACAATCAAACACTACACTGCATATCCTCGACATGTCTGGTTAAAACCTACCAGAATGTAGATATGTCACACATCTGTGTTTATGATCCTGAGCCATTCTTCCATGATGACGGTGAAACCTAACAAACCTAAACATCAATGAATTGATGGTGAACAATTTTGTTCAATATTTTCACGAAACATTTGTTTCTTTGTACCATTTCGATATTCAAAATCTCATTTATATTCATAATGCGTGATCTTGATAAAATGTTCTAATACCAAGACATTTTTTCCCAAAAAGATCCAGAGTTTTTATTTATTTATTTATTTGATATGGGGTTTACGTTTGAATATCTTCTTTGAACTTTTGTTACTTATACTCATCACCAACCATACTTGTTCTTGACTACACTGGTCATCCAAGTAATTTTGCACAACTGACTCACACTTATGTTAATTTGTGATCTTGTGTAAAATTGAACCCACCTTCGAAACCAAAAGAAAAAGAGGCCCTTAGATACTCATCAACAAGTATGTGATTGTAATTCACGGGAAACTACACAAGCAATTTTTCATCTCTCTTAATGTCGAATGAAGGGATCTTCGCATGGGATCAATTTGCTTTCGTATCAAATAAACTTTGATATCACAATATCCATACAATGTTTTACTTTCTTCTATCTCATTCTCTGGCACACAAAAGCACTGAAATCCTTGAGGTTTTGGGTATTCTCAACTCGAAACTTAGATTTTGCAAAGTCTGTCAAATGATTTTACTTATCCTTCCCATAAGTAAATGAGCATTGCCTCCAAGTCGAAGGATGGTTCACTATTGGTCATGAAACTTTTAAGCCTTATCTTGGTATCAAAACTTATGGCGGTTCTGATATGATTGATGGAAGCGAATGGTCAGAATGAAGTGACGGTTCATAATTTCACAGGAATCAAGGAGAAAAGTGATGATCACTTTTATTACGTGGCGATTTTTACGGTGTTGGTTAAGTAACCAACACTCCACGTGGCATTTTCTTATTGGGTACCGGTTCAAATTCATAAATAACACAAGTTATAAAAGGAAGATGATGATTTCCTTTTCACCTTTATACTCTCTGATTGAACCTCAAGAACCCTAACTGTTTATCGCTTCTAAAATTCTTCAAAGTCTCTCCAATGGCTGCTTCTCAATGCAATGTTGATCAAACAACAACCAATGACGAAGAGGTTTCGCATCCTATGATGAAGATACAACACACTAATAATATTCGTCTAGTTCCATCTCTTGATACATACCCATAGGAGTATCAGATGCTTGTTCAAACACTGAATAACTCTGTGTTATCGTTTGCTCTTTCTACTTCGTTCGTAATCCCAATGGAATGGTTGTCTCTTGCTGCTTCAACTGCGGTGTTCAATAAAATAAACAAGGTGGTTATGTTCCAGCTTACAAATTCAAAATCAAATAATCTCACTCGGAAACAGTTTGCACAAATTCTGAGACTACCAACTTCAGGTACTTTCTATGAAGTTACAAATGATCAAGTTATTCATATGTTCAAAGAAATGGGACATCAACCTACACTCACTGCAATTAGCCACTTTAAGAAGTCCAGTCTTCCATGTGTGTAACAACGTAATTTTTCAAAACAATTTTTCATTTTTAAATCATACTTTCAATCACATGAAAAATCACAAAACATAATGTATCACTGTGTCATAACAAAGCATGTCCCCAGAATCTCAATAACATAAACTCCATAAGTGTGTACGGATCATGCCGGTGCCTTCCCGCGATCCTCGCTAGTACCTGAAACACATAACACAACAACTGTAAGCATAAATGCTTAGTGAGTTCCCCAAAATACCACATACCACACATACGCCTTTCCAGGCCATAACTCTGTAGGATCTTCCGATCCATGTGTCTCAGGGGACTTCCGTCCCGAATCCCGGTAGACCTTCCGGTCCTACCCGTATCGACCTTCCGGCCCGTAACCACTTGACCTTCCGGTCCATATCATCTTGACCTTCCGGTCCATATCATCTTGACCTTCCGGTCCTTATCGTACATAACATACATAACACATACATATCACATAACAACATACAGCTCATACATCTCATAGCATATAAGACCTTTCGGTCACACATAGGTACCCTTCCAGGTACAGTATAATGAGAAGACTCACCTCAATGAAGTCGGATAAACTTTCGTGCTCAACGTCCCGACTTAGCCTCCTCCTATTATTCAAATAACATCCCCGATCAATATTCTCTCGTGATCTCATCTCTACAGATTGGGTAGAAGGCCATTCTACCCTTCCCTGAACTCTCTTGAATCAGTCTTGACCAGAACCCTAAGGTCAACGAAAGTCAACGGTCAAACTTTGACCCGACTCGTCGAGTGCACAAGGGCGACTCGGCGAGTCCATGCGGGTCCTCTGAATCCTTTCAGCCTCTCTTGGCACCTCGAGTCATCCTTCCACTCGACGGGTTACACCTGTCACGAATCGCGGGGCAACCCCGACTCGACTCGTCGAGTCCACTTATGGACTCGGCGAGTTGTTCCCATAACAACTCTCAAATGACCTTCTAAGGTCAGATCTGCTTCTCTAAACTATAGATCTGACCTTCAAGTGCTCAAAGGTCACGTAAAGGTGCAACCTTTACGTGCATGCAACCCACATCAAGTCATAAATGGAGAAATAACTCTAAAATTGGCAACCTAGTCTCCAATCCTCCATGAACAAGCATAAAGCAGAATGGGAAAGGTTCTCTGGACCTCTATGGGTCCAGATCTGAGGTCTAACCCAGCAAGGGACCATGACCTCAACCTTTCAAGCCTAAAAAGGTTTATAGAAAACCCTAAATCATAGATATTAACCCAAAACAGAAGGGAAGTTCGATTTGATACCTCAATAGTGTAGATCTGAACTTGAAACCCTGGATCCACAGCTCCCTTGACCTCCTCTTGTTGGAAACTACTTCTCTTTTGCTAAAACACACAAGAAATGGTGAATTAGCCTTCCTCTTGCACCACAAACGTTCTCTTTCTCTCTCTAGGGTTTCTCAGGGGTGAAGTGGCCGCAATGGAGGCTATAAAGGCCTTTAAATAGGGCACATGCCCCGAGAATTAGGGTTTCACTTAACAGCGCGGACTCGCCGAGTCCACGCATCGACTCGTCGAGTCCTTCATTAAATCAGACCAGAAATACGCGATCCCACTCGACGAGTCTGAGCGCCTACTCGCCGAGTCCCTCTCTAAAATTCAATATAAATACTTAAAATAAGATACCTGGGAATCCGGATGTTACAATTCTCCCCCACTAGAATCAGACTTCGCCCTCGAAGTCCTGCTCGGCAAACAACTCTGGATGCTGCTCCCGCATCTCCAACTCCGGCTCCCAGGTCAGCTCGGACCCTTTCCGATGTTGCCACTGGACCTGCACCAGGGACACTTCCTTGTTCCTCAGAACCTTGATCTTCCGATCCCGGATCGCGATTGGTCTCTCAGCATAATTCAGGCTCGCATCCACCTGAATATCCTCCAGCGGTACCACCGCCGATCGTCGGCTATACACTTCCTCAACTGAGACACGTGAAAGGTATCATGAATCTGTCTCGGCTCCTCAGGTAGCTCCAACCGATAAGCTACCCTGCCCACCCTCGCGGTCACCCTAAATGGCCCGATATACCGGGGCCCCAGCTTGCCCCTCTTCCTGAATCGGATCACTCCTTTCCAAGGAGACACTTTCAGGAGTACGAAGTCTCCCACTGGAACTCAAGCTCGGATCGTCGCCTATCCGCATAACTCTTCTGACGACTCTGAGCCGTCAATAACCTCTGTCTAACCTGCTGTATCTGCTCTGTCGTCTGAAGCACTATCTCAGTGCTACCCATCACACGCTGTCCTACCTCTCCCCAGCAAATGGGAGTCCGACACCTCCTACCATACAACAACTCGAAGGGAGGCATACCAATACTCGAATGGTGGCTGTTGTTGTAGGAAAACTCAGCCAACGGCAAGTACGTGTCCCAACTTCCTCCGAAGTCCAACACACATGCTCGAAGCATGTCCTCGAGTGTCTGAATCGTCCGCTCACTCTGTCCGTCCGTCTGGGGGTGGTAGGCGGTACTGAAATGCAACCTCGTACCCAACTCCTCGTGGAACTTCTTCCAGAACCTGGAAGTGAAACGTACATCTCGATCTGACACAATCGAGATCGGTACTCCATGACGCGATACCACCTCCCTCACATACAACTCTGCCAACCTCTCAGCAGAAGAGCTCTCACTGATAGCAAGAAAATGCGCGCTCTTCGTCAGTCGGTCGACGATCACCCAAATTGCATCGACACCCCTCGCGGTCCTCGGCAATTTGGTGATGAAATCCATGGAAATCTGTTCCCACTTCCACTGGGGAACCTCAAGCGGCTGCAACTTGCCATGCGGACGCTGGTGCTCGGCCTTAACCTTGCGACAGGTCAAGCACCTCTCGACAAACCACGCGACATCCCTTTTCATACAGGGCCACCAATAATCTTTCTTCAGGTCCAAATACATCTTAGTGGCCCCGGGATGGATCGAGAACCTCGATCTATGCGCCTCCTCCATCAGAATGGTACGTGCCCCGCCTGCATACGGCACCCAAATCCGACCTTGAAAGGTCATCAGCCCTCGACTATCGGTAACGAACTCGGACACCTGCCCGATCACCCGCTCCCTCTTGCGGTTCTCCGGTATCACGGCCTCTGCCTGGGCCTCCCGAATGGTGTCCAACACCGGAGTCATCACTGTCAGTCGCATGCAAATGTCTCGAATCGGGGCACTCTCCGCCCTACGGCTCAGGGCATCAGCTACAACATTAGCTTTGCCCGGGTGGTACAGGATCTCACAATCGTAATCCTTTACCACGTCCAACCATCTCCTCTGGCGCATATTCAGATTGGGCTGATCCATCAAATACTTCAAGCTCTTGTGGTCCGTGTATATGGTACACCGAACCCCATATAAATAATGACGCCATATCTTGAGGGCAAACACCACTGCCCCCAACTCCAGATCGTGGGTGGGATACCTCGTCTCATGAGGCTTCAGCTGCCTCGATGCATACGCTATCACATGCCCTCTCTGCATAAGCACCGCACCCAACCCTGATATCGATGCGTCACAATACACCACAAAATCCTCCATCCCTTCCGGGAGGGCTAACACAGGGGCTTCGCATAACTTCTGGCGAAGTGTCTCAAACGAGGTCTGCTGCTCCGGACCCCATGAAAAAGCAACACCCTTCCGGGTCAACCTGGTGAGAGGCACGGCAATCTTGGAGAAATCTCTGATAAATCTCCGATAGTAGCCGGCCAATCCCAGAAAACTCCTGATCTCGGTGGGAGATCTCGGCACCTCCCACCTCATAACCGCCTCAATCTTGGCCGGATCGACCAAAATCCCATCCTGGTTGACGAGATGCCCCAAGAACTGGACCTCCCGTAACCAGAACTCGCACTTGGAGAATTTGGCATAAAGCCTCTCCGTCCTCAATACCCGAGAATCTCTCTCAGATGCTCCTCGTGCTGCTCTCTAGATCTCGAATACACCAGTATATCGTCGATGAACACGATCACCGAACGATCCAACATCGGTCTACACACCCTGTTCATGAGATCCATGAACGCTGCTGGTGCATTGGTGAGCCCGAAAGGCATCACCACGAACTCGTAATGCCCATAACGAGTCCTGAACGCCGTCTTCTGGATATCCTCATCACGCACTCTCATCTGATGATATCCAGACCTCAGATCAATCTTGGAGAACCAAGACGCTCCCTGCAACTGATCGAACAAATCGTCGATCCTCGGTAATGGGTAACGGTTCTTGACCGTCAACTTGTTCAACTCCCGGTAATCAATACACATCCGGTGTGAACCATCCTTTTTCTTGACAAAAAGGATCGGCGCTCCCCATGGCGAGCTACTCGGTCGAATAAACCCCTTTCCCAGCAGCTCCTGAAGCTGCGAGGATAACTCCTGCATCTCTGGCGGCGCAAGGCGATAAGGCGCCTTGGCGATAGGCGCTGCCCCCGGAACCAAATCGATGCGGAACTCTACCTGCCTCTCGGGAGGCACACCCGGCAACTCCTCGGGAAAAACATCCGGGAACTCACGCACTATCGGAACGTCATCCATCGAACTTGGCCTCCCAGCGGCCTCTCGTGCGTCCATCACATAGGCTACAAACCCGCTGCAGCCCTGCTGTAAACTCTGTCTCGCTCTGGCAGCCGAACAAATCACCGACCCACATCGGGTACCCTCGCCGTACACCGTAAGTACTCCCCCGCTAGGGTCTCGTATCGTCACCAACTGTCGCTCGCAGTCTATAACAGCCCCAAATCGGCTCAACCAATCCATGCCCACTATGACACACACGTCCCCCATCGCTATCGGGACCAGATCTATCGGGAACTCAACACCGAAGATCTCGAGTACACATCCTCGTATCACATCCGTAGCATACACCGCTCGCTCGTCAGCTATGGAAACTCGCAGAGGTCGACTCAACGCCTCTCGTCTGCTACTGATGTGTCGACTAAACGCTATCGACACAAATGATCGACTCGCACCCGAGTCAAA